ATGCGGTGACAGCAGCGGAAGATACCCCGGTGATTGTAAGTTCAAGCCGTCTTTGGTTGTATTCTTGAAGGTCACCAATAAGTTGAATGATTTTTGTGTTGTTCTGATACTTATTTGAAACATATTTGATTGCTGAATCTAAAGTATTGAAATACTCTTGAGCGGTGTTCTTGACCTTTTCAGTGTGAGAGATAGTGACAGTCTTTGATTCTTGATAGTTATTGACACACTGATCAATCCATAAGTTGTGAGCTGCAGAAAGATCAATGTTGAAAGTCTTTGGTGGATTGATTTGATCTGAAGGATCTTTAGACTTGGTAAGACTCTCTTCATCGGTTGAATGATCGACTTTGAGTTTGGGAATCGGATCTTCAGGATCAATGTCAGAATCAGAGTGAGTTGAGGAGGGAGGAGGAGGGGGCTTTGCTTGGCTCATCCAGTTTGACATGATGAAGTTGTTCTTTCCAATAGCTTTCTCTCTTTTTTGCTTACGGCTGAATCTAGTTTGTTTTGACTTGATGGCGGGTTTACCCTTGATGCTTCCAGGTTCAAATCAAGGCTGTTTGTATCCTTTCATGATCGATCCGGTTTTGGTTTTTTGCTTTCCGAGAGTAGCTTCTGATGGACAACGTTGAGTAAAGACAGGGTAGAAGATGTTTTTGATGAATTCTTGATCAACTTCTTCTTCGTCAGATGAATCAGCTATGTCATCTTGAGCGTGGAGATTCATTTCTAAAGGGTCCAGGTCATCCTCTTCGTTTTGGTAATCCATGTCGATTGGAAGCCAATAAGGCTCTGGTGATTGTTTGAAAGAGGAAGACAGAGGAGGTGGCAAAGCTTTGTGTGAATCATGTGAAGGCATTTGAGCTTTTGATTGAGATTCTAATGATAATTCAACATTTAATCATGATTGATTCTTGTTGAGTGTCTGAGATGAATCGAGAAAAGGGGAAGGACTGTGCTCTGAGTCATGTGGCGGGCGTGATTTTTGAAAAAAGTAGCGCCCGGCCACGCCCAGGGGGGGCTGGCCCATTTTTGGCTGGGGGCGTTGAAGGGCGCAAGAGGCGCAAAAAAAAATAAAAGAGTGGCAACAAGAAGACATTTTTTTCAATTTACTAGCTAAAATAACTATTCATCACACAAGTCCTCTGCGCTCCATGACTCTCCATCACTTAGCAGCTTGAGTGAAATTTTCAAAGTTGAAAAGTGTATCGATGAAACCAGTCTCCCATTCGATTTCAACATCGATATCTTGTTCTGCATCACGCTCGTGCTGAGCAAACTCACCGTTCTCAAACTCTTGTAGATCATCGATTCCGGTGAAGAGTCCAGAGTTCAACTCATCGTTGTAGGTGATTATCGCAATATCTTGCTCGTACACCTTTTGAGAGGAATCCTTGGCCTGAACTTGCAGTTCAATCTGTGTAACCATCTTCAGGTTAGTTACTGACATTTGATTTCGAGATTTTTTTTTGTAGCTCCCCTCTTGGTGAACACACTTTCCACACCAGCAGCGTGTGGAACAAGTTCAAGGACTTTTATTGCGAAGGTCTTGAGCAGAACCGTGTGCGGGGTCGATGGAATAGCTAGCCAGTAGTTCAAAGGTACAGAAACTACAGTGTATTGGTGATTGATGTCAGCGTATGAAATGTAGACAGGCGGAAGCAAAATACTTGATAGAGAAAAAGCAACTGTACCAGTTGAGAACGATCTAAACGCTCCCCCACCGCTGAAATATCGTAGTACTTGTGTTTGAAGAGTAACAGCTTCGTTTTTTTTGTAATTCCACACCTTAGCGATTGATAGGATATTCTTCATCATTGTGTTGATTGGAAACGCGCCTGAGGTGGCAACTTGACAGTAATTAGGATTGAGAAAGAAACCGACTACATAGATTGGATTGGCAAAGATCTTTGCCTGTGTATGCAAGATCTTGAGACAGTGGTCTCTGTAAGAATGGAATCGAGGGTAGCTGGATAGATCGAACTTGCAAATTTGATTATAAACCGTGCCGATCTCCTTCCAGATATCACCGACTGAAGTATTAGCCCGTTCTAGTCGACCGATCGCATCAACAACTGGTCGAAGCAGCTTGACCAAGATAGAATTTGATGTGAAGTGGCCGCGATTTGCGATGATGACTTGTACGTTCTTGCTGATCTCTGGAGTTGAAATTGATTTATCCTTCAACATTGACATACACATCTGAAATCCTTGCTTGTGTGATTCAATGGACAATGCAACCTTTGACATTGAAAACCACCGAGTTTCACAAAAGGTTCTAATGCCATGTCTTATACCCTCTTTAGTGCGCCAATTAAAAAGCTTGACACCCCAGAAATGTGAAGCACTAAAGAAGTTAACCAGTGTCTTGTTGTTTGAAACTGTAACCTTCATATCGGGGTGTTCAACACATTTCTTGGCAACAAGATTGAAAACATGTAAACAACAAGCTAAGGGAATGACATGAGGAAACTCGGTTTTTACAAGTTTCTAAAAGGATAAAGGAAGGAAAGTTATGATTAGTCAAAGAGACATAAGAAAACACGAGATATAGAGATACTTACACGTAACTTCACCATAGAGCTTGGTGAATCGGTTACAATCCCACCAATTTGTTCCCAGGTAACATCTTGGCCATTGAGAGCTTTTTTCAGAGCAGCTAGTGAATTTTCAGATGTGTGTTGGACATCATCGAGTTCAAGTACATCAATCAATTTCTTGACTTCGGTACCACGTAGGAGTAAGACCGCATATACACTGTTCTTTGAGCAGTCCGTCCATCCATCTAGTGAAATAGTGAGATTTGTATGCTGTTTGAGCTCGGCTTTGGTCACTCTTGAGTATTGTGCATGAACTCGAGGAAGGACAGTGTCCATCATAATGTGTTGCAAAGCCGGAGTGTAAGATACGACGGAGAGTTTTTGTTGAAAAGCATGGAATGATTTGTTTTGGAGGAAACAAAAAGGAACATGTCCAGTAATTAGAGCCTTGAGAAGATCTTCATAAGTATCCATGGTGCTCTCTTTGGTACGAGGTACAAAGCGACTGAAGTTGGACTGTGTGAAGTCGTGAGCTAGCTTGGGGCGTTTTGTGGAAAGCGCTGATGATCTGTTAGACTCTGATGCATTGATATTGGTTATGGTATCATTTGCAGGTCTGGCAACACTTTTGGGATTGACTTCTTCATAGGCTGGGTGATCGGATATTGAGATTGATTTACATTCTTGTGTCATGTGACGATGAAGCTTTGCAGGTTTTCCATCCATCTCCTCTTTGCAGTGCTTGCACTTAGCTCGACGGCGACTATGCTTCCGATCAGTGGCTGCTTCAAAGCCTGTCCAGGTGGGCCCGCTAGTAGAAGTTGGCTCCATCCATTTGGTAGGTGTGGTCATTGTGGAAAAAGGTGGGGACTAGCTGGGGTTGGGGAATTGAATAGACGCAAAGAAAATTGAAGAGGCGACAAATGTATCAAAGAACATCTCATAATTTCAACTAGGTTTCAGATAGGGCGCGCCCCCCCCTTATTGAAGAAAAAAAGCCGCGCCCGGGCGCGCCCGAGGTCGCCAAAAACGTGCCGCGCCGGCCACATGAGCTCTGAGTCAGATAAGAGATCCATTTCAATTTGTTCTTGAGTTGATTCGAGAAAGAAAGGGCTTTTGTCCAATTGAGTTCTGGAATTGATCGGAGTTGTTGCTGTGAGATTTGCCATGCTTTTGGCTTTTCGGTGTGCTTTCCATTGTTTCTTCTGAGCACGTGATGCTGCACTCTTCTTCGGCATGATTTCAATTGCAGTATATCGTGGGTTTTGAGCGCTGAAAAAGCTTGAAAATGATTGATATTGGGAAGGTGGGGAAGATCTTGAATGCAGAAAATATGTACAAGTACACCAAAAATAGACCACCCATTGCTGGTCACAACTCAGGATGAGCCCCGACCCCCGAATGCCGGGGACTGGGCTGCCCGGCCCACCGACTTTTTTTCAAAAGTCAGAACGAGGACCGACCCCGGTATTCCCCGAGCTTTTTCTGGCTCATAGGTCAAGCCCGGCTCCCGTACCCTGACCCCCGACGGACTACCAAATCCCCGGGAAATTACGGGGATCCCCGAGTCCCCGGCTATTTCCGGCAGAAACCGCTGAGCACAACCTCTCCCAAGCGTGTATTTATCCGCTTTTTACAGCTTGATTTTTCCTCGGGTTCCCCGAGGAGAGTCACTTTCTTTTGACTCTCAGAACGACTCCCGGGCCCGATAATCCCCGCGGTTCTGCGACCCTTCAAAGGCCAGAACGACCCCCCGACCCGACGGGCTGTCCCGCGGGTATCCCCGATTTGGCGGGTCTCGGGGCTCATCCTGAGTCACAACCCCTCCAGATTTCAGACCGGGGCCGGGGCGGATCAACCTGTGGTTGGCTTTAAGCGATAACAACTGTACGTGAAAATTTAGGGCATCGGCTGTGGATGATTTTGCCCTAAATTTCCGTACGACATGGTTTACGCCACACGGCTGTGGATGCTCTAAGCTGGTATCATTTTTATCACCCAATGCTCTTCTTAGGATGGAACGTGTTCAAAGGACGCCACCGTCCCAATTTGGATGGTGCTCTTTGAGAGCTATCTGTACAGATGTGTATGAAATTCCGCACTTTCCACTTCCGCGCGGAATTTTTCCGCGCTTTGCGCAAGCTCCAATTCTTTGGTAAAGCCCCTCTTCGCGGGAGGGGCTTATGTGTAGTTGAACTTACCACTGCGGGGCGGGGGGGCCACGAATCAGAGAGAGCATTCCACTGGCGTCTTGTGGCTGACCAGGAAGCTGTGGCTAAAGTTACAGTTATAGCCTGTTAAAGGATTCGGAAGAACACTTTTCCTTGTTGAATTGGGTTGACTATAAAAGTTTGCTTCAGTAAAGAGAAAAAGTCTATGTAAAAGGCTTGTTCCCTCTGACCAGATCTGTGCAGCTTTTTATAAATCTTCACTATTTCTCATCTTGTTCTGTGAAAAATGTCTTGGATTCGATCGATACCCATCTTTCATCTTCTGCTCGTTTGCTTGCTCGCCGGAGACCTCGGCTTTAATATTTTTGCAAATGCTAATGCTTGGGATTGTAGCGAAGGTTGGAGTTCACCGGGCAGTAATTACAATGGCTGGTGTCAGTCAAAGGATTTCCTTCAATCTTCACTTTTTCACTTCTTTCTAGTCATGAATCATTCATCTTTTTTTTCCCTTAGATATAGTGTGAACTGACTAGTAAACAATCTAAACATCCTTCTTGGAAATTTCATGCTCACAGTGTGTGAAACAAAAGCTTCCGGTGGCCAATCCGTTACCCAGTATGGCTCAAAATGTGGAAGGAATGATGGGTTATTACCATGTAATGAAGAATTTTTGTTTTCAATCAAAGGGCGATTTAGAAGGACCACTTACTCTTTCGTTCAATGGGCTCTCGTACAGCTGCCAGGGACTGCGTTGACGAAGATGGAAAGCTAATGAACAACGGGGAGTTATGGGCTTGTGACCTAGTATTCGACTCCTACTCTGACTACCGCAAAGACGGTAGACACTTCTGTGAGTCTTCTTCCATGTTTCACCTTTAACTCTTTCTGTGTGGTTAGGGATACCTTGAGAATAGATAGCTTGAATTCACAAAATTCATTGGACCGTCTTGAACTTTCCACGTCAAGTCACAGTCCAGAATTCCAGTTACTAATGTACATCAAATCTGGATCCATCTCCTCTTTATTTTGAAAAAAACAGATTGCAATCAATCTAAAAACGTTAGCTTGTTCTATTGCCGAAGCATGAATAAACCCCAACGTAAGTCCCAACCCTTTGAACTAGTTTGCAGTGAAGCATTGAGATTCACTCATCCCTGACTCTCGATCTCTGTGGTGTAAACTTCACGATGTTTGCTATGATCTCTAGAATGTAACAAGTTAGTGTGCTCCACAACACCTTAGTAATCGAATTCATCACTATGATGTCGAATTTACTGTGCAGTTGAATATGATTGTCACCTATCCATGACTTTGTTGCTTGAACAAATTGCTCAATCCTGATGATTTTCGTTTAATCAAACCTTTTGGCCTTGTGGGGAATGGGAATTGCAACTCATCAATCTTCAGAAATGCATCCTATGATGTTCCTATCAAAAGCCAATAAATGAGCTTTATGAGCTTCAAAAGGGCAGATCAAAATGTCCCAACAGTTGGCTTGAGTCCATGTGAAATAGCCTTGCCACAAGCTCACAGCTGCTTTAATCTGGTGTTTTAGGATAGGATGATTTAACAATACCTGTTATGAAAGACATATCAGAACACCTGAAATGGCTCACTATTAATAGACAATTCATTAAAAAGAAATCCAATAATCCAAAAAGAGGCATTGGAAAAAAATACAAATCAATCAATGAAATTAAAATAAAAGGGACCTTGGGAAAAGAAATCAAATCCAAAAATGACAACTTGAGTCTAAAGTTTTGTTTTCTATTTCTATCATCATAAATCTTTTGGTTTGGTTGGATGATGCATATTCCAAATCACAAAGATATTATACATGATATGTAAAAGAAAGTTACAAAAAACATTAAAAAGTTACAAAAAATAATAAAAACTTTGAAATTAACCAAAGGCACAGATCATCAGCTTGTGTGTGCAAGCCCTCAGAGCTGGGGTTAACCAACTTGGCAAGCTTTTTGAAAAACAACGATATTTAGATCTGAAATTAAACCTCCCAACCCAGTCAAAACTTTAGACTCAAGTTGTCATTTTTGGATTTGATTTCTTTTCCCAAGTTCCCTTTTATTTTAACTTCATTGATTGATTTGTATTTTTTTCCCATAAATCTTTTGGTTTGGTTGGATGATGCATATTCCAAATCACAAAGATATTATACATGATCTGTAAAAGAAAGTTACAGAATAAAAAAAAATAAAAAGTTACAAAAAAAATAAAAAGTAACAAAAAAAATAATAAAAACTTTGAAATTAACCAAGGGCACAGATCATCAGCTTGTGTGTGAAAGCCCTCAGAGCTGGGGTTAACCAAGTTAGCAAGCTTTTTGAAAAACAGCCATATTTAGATCTGAAACTAAACCTCCCAACCCAGTACACCCAATTACCGTCCAAAAAATAACTGGATGTACATACCAAGATTTTTTTGGCAACTAGCTTTAAGTTTGCTAGACCAGCTAAATGTATAAGAAATTTCCAGATCTACAACATAAATTAAGAATTAAGTTTGATACACTAATCATGATAATCATCATACATTGTTCATATAAAAAATAAAGAAGTTTTTTTTGGTGATATATAAATGATGTGTTGCTTTTCATTTCGTTTTATAAATCTTCATCATCTTCAACCAACTTAAATAACTTTTCATACTTTTGAACAATTTCATTAATTCCTTTCATCAAATGATCACACTGATATTCAATCTGATGAATTCCTTGACTTTTTTCAATTGGATGATGAACTTCTTGAACTTCTTTTAAATTTAATTTAATCTGATCATCATCAAGAAGGATTTCCTTTGATTTTAACTTTTCTTCTTTTTTAAACTTTCCTTTTCTTTTACCAACACCAACCAATTCATCATCTTTCAATAAATTTCCATCTCTAAACTTAAATTCAATTCGATCTTCACCTTCACCTTCATTTCGTTTTTTTTTCTTCGCCGTCATCGTCACCAAATCGACCATCTCTTTCCATTCTTCCAATTCACTCATACCTCTAGCTGTCCTACCCGTTCCCGTCCCACTTCCTGTTCTACTTCCTGTTCCATGATCTCGATTATTAAATCTTAATTTAGGTCTAATCGGTGTAATAAATCCATCTTGTATCATTCCAATCCGATCCCCAGAAGACAAACTTGACTTCAACTTCTTTTCATGCTCATTTATCCTTAATCCAATCTCTTCATCTTTCTCAAATTCATCCATGAAATTAGGTAAAAGTGTGAACCCATTAAACAGTTCATCTTGATGATTTCTTTCTTCTTCTTCTTCCTCTACTTCTGATGATGATGATAATCTTCTTGGATAATTCTTATTAGGTTTTTTTATCGATCTTAGAACTGATAAACCAGGTGAAGAAGCAAAAAAGGCTGAGAAATTAAAGGCTGTGGTTACTTTCCCTGGTATAGCTGATCCAGCTATACCCATACTGATTTCTTCCGATCCGATTTCGATCTCAAGAGCTTCATTAGTAGGTTTGTATAAAGCTTCCACTACATCCACATCCATTCATGATCAGTATACATACTGATACAAGTCGATTTTCAAAGAAAAGCCTAATGAGCTCTCAACTCACCTGTTCGGATCTCGGACCAATCTAGTCCCTTAAACCAAACATGGTTTTGAATTTGTTTTACTCCTGTTGAATGACAACCTAATCTTTTATAAGGATCTGTAAGTAATCTAATCACATATTCACATTCAACAAATCAATCAAGGCCGATCAGGATTTTGGAAAACAAATCAATCAATCAGATAGATGTAAGAGATGTTCACTTACGATTTAATGAAATCTTGGGCATCAATTGAAACTTTACAAGTGGGTATCATTAGACTTGAAGTTGGAAATGATAAAGAATTCTGTTGAATTTGAAAAAGTTGAAGAAAAAAAATGAACGATTTTGAAAGTCAAATGAAATTCAACAGAAATGATCAAAGAAACCAATCTTGAATGAGTATTAATGTGTTTCCACAAAATAGGATTGAGATAATAGAGAAGAAGAAAAAAGAACGTACTTGATGTGAAACGATCATTTCATATGTACACGAAATTGATGGTGAATAAAAAGGTAAACTACCATAAAGTAACTAATCAGAAACATCAAGAAAAAACAACAATAAGTTTTTCCAGAATTCAAGAAATACATATGTAGAGATGGGCATCATACCTCATAAAGAGTGACACCTAAACTCCACCAATCCACTTCATTACCATATAATCCTCCTACTTGCTGATCATTCATTAAACCATCATCATCATTCGGAGTAGTGCTCTCTGAATCACTATCCATGAGATCCATGACTGTATGTAAATGAGAATGTAAGATCTCAGCTGAAACGAAATCAAAGCAAAAAGCTCATCAGTACTGATTCATGAATCGAATCACCCAAAAGTACATATCTATAAGATTATATATATATATGTAGAATACATACGAGCGATATAATCACATGTACCCACCAAAGTTCTTGAAAAGCTTTTAGGCACCAATAATCTAGGAAACTCATAAACGATTTCTTCATGAAACTTTTCCCAATGATACTGATCTATACAAGGAGGCAAGACTTTGATCAATGGAGCAGCAGTACCGAAATCGTTCAAGACGATATGACCATCTAAACTTAATAAGATATTCGAAGGTTTCAAATCCCTATGAACCCAATAATGTTGAGTATGTAACCAATCCAAACCTAAAACGATTTCCATGATCCATTGTTTTACAATCCGTTCATATTGATGATCTTGAATTGAAGTTAATTTGGACTCTTGACGTTTGATCATCAGATCTGATAAAGTTCCTCCAGGTAAATAAGAGGTTAAGATGTACAATGAATCAGTGGATTGAAAAGAAGCACGTAAGTTTGGTAAGGTTCCTTTGATTGATGAGGTTTGATGAGTTTCTGATGATCTAGATAATTGAAGGATTGCAAGTTCTGCATCGGCTGAGATATGCTGTATAAAAGTAATGATCAAAAGAAATGGATCAGTTTGAAGAAATCTTTTGGTGAATCTTTTTTTGTTTTGGATTAAGAAAGAAGATGATCATTTTAAGATTGGATTCACTTCTCTCATTCTAATAGCTGCTGATTTATAAATCGTCTTTAGTACAAATAGATTTCTTTGATTTCTTACTTCATCTTTTGATAATCGACTTTTCACCAATTCAACCTAACCCAAAAACCAAACCAATCCAATCCAAAATCCAAATCGTGTGAAGATTAGAAAAAATTCATTAAGATGAAAAAAAAGTCAATGATAAACAAATTACAAAGATACCTTTCCAGATTCACTTGAAGATAATTCACGTATTTTAATGAAATCTAAATTAGGATCAAGTTGAGATTTAATGACTCTTTTTAATAATTTAATTTCAGTAGTAGAAGATGATGATGAATGATGATGATGATTTGAATTTTGTTCTAATAATTTGTTTGAAAGTTCGATTAATAAACCGGTTTTGAAATTAAGTTGATGAGTTTCAAGATCAGATTGATGATGGATTAAGTTTAGATGGATTGATGAATTGATGAGATGTTGGTTCAGGTTTAGATGATTTGAATTGGTGAGAGCGTCGAGTAGTTTTGATAGTTTCTTGTGTCTTTCTGACCATGGTTGTGGTGTTGTGGTTGTTGTTGTTGATTGTTGTTTTGGTGAAGTTTGAAAATGAACTCGGTGATGATTGAAAGCTGACATTGAAGATCGATTGGTCTTCTTCAAAGCTATCAAGGTTCAAGTCGAGATTACCATCAAAATTAAAACTACTTAATTTACATAGCTAAAACTACTTAACTCTGCTAAAACTACTTGATTGAATTAAAACTACTTAACCTGACTAAAACTACTTAATATATCTCTTAAGTCTAAGTAAAAGTGATTTGATTTCTTTTCGATTCGATTTCTGGAATGTACCAGAACTAGAACTAAAATGCAAATCATCGAAACCGAATTCTGAATGAGTTTTGAGTTAAAAAGAATCAGCTAATCTCTCCAGAGTCCAATCCAATCCATCATCACATTCTCATCCATCACCACCACCATCACCATCGATCATGTCACTCTATCATTCACCAATCCAATCCATTCATCCATTCTTAAATCAATCATCATCAACAACAACAACAACAAGACTTAGACCGACTTTAAAAAGATCTCAATCTCCTTATACATCTGATCATCATCATCATCATCATCAATCTAATCAACAAGATCGAAAGAAAAGAAAAACTTCACCAAGCGGTGCATTTGCTAAATTATCATTAACAACTCATCATACATCACCATCAAATGAATCTGATCCAATCAAAGCTACCGTCACGACTACTTCTTTATCTGATCTTCAACCTAACCTTTCACTAGATACTCATTCAGATCAAAGAATGAGATCAGTTTATTCTGCATATGAAATCGGACCGGACCGAATCTTTGTAGACTCATTAGGATCAGAACCATCAAGTCCGATCGAAAGTGTTGATCTACCGACTCCAAAACTTACAATCACTTGTCAGATTCCTATGATTCCAAAGTTACCTATTCCTGATACTTTAGATAAACAAGATCAACAATTAGTGCTCTATAAAGCTCCGGTTCATCTTACTTTAAATCATCATCTTTCTACTTCTTCGAACCTTGGTGAACCTAGTCGGATTTTGGAATCTGATGATCTTCTACATGATGTTCCTATGGAACTTGATTAACTTTAAACTTATCAATCAACTTATCTAAACCTTCACTCAGAGTCCATACTGAAGACTTTATATCTTTTTTGAATGTTTTCGAGCGATTTTTTTCAAAGTTTCAAATCTTATTTAATTCACTTTGTGATGATGGTATCTTTGGATGAATTTCTGACTTTTCTTTTCGGTTTTCATTTTAAAGACTATTTGTTTACATAACTTTATCTCACATGACTTATTCCAAAAAGATCTTAATCAAAACGATTTTTTATGTGTTTTTCCTTTTTCTTAATCAGTTTGTGGGTTTCTTTTACTTTTCGATTCAGATTGTAATGTGTTTGTGTGTTTGTTTGATCAAAAGTGTTGAAGTTAATAACCGAGTAAACTAGTCGAGAAAACAAAATAACAATGTATGCTTGTTCAGTTGGTTGACCGAATTTCGAGTTGATTTTATTTATTTATTTGAAGAGTGGATTTCTTCGTAACGATAATTAGGATCTTTGGTAAACCTTTCTTTTGCCTGTCTACACAATTTCATGGGGTACATGCGCTCAAAGTTAAAATGTATCTGTTATGTATCACAACATAGTTAACTTACCAAATAAAAAAGTCATTCATGAGTGAGTAGATTAGAGACCAGGCGCAGATTCCCAGGTCTTCGTATTACTAAAACGAGTCGTTTTTCACGTTTTCTCACATTCCAGTCTCAAAATCGGCTTATTTTGCCATTTGAGACGCCACACGTGATGCGATTAGAGATTTAGTAATTTTCTTCTTGTCGTGCCTCGCATAGCTTCAGGGAGGCACGACTTCGTCCACTCATCAAAGACAAGGGTATGATGTTGCTCCTTGGGTCATCCCAGATTTGTCGCATTGCATAGTAAGGAAATAAAAAGTTCACCTTCCTGGATCTTTTTATTTCCCTACTAATAGATGATTTTGACGTCTAAGATCTGATTGGATGTCGTTGCGGATGTGCTTTTTGTTGCACTTCCGTCTAATTGGCCTCGTCTGGTCAACCATCATGAGCGTCTTTCGCAGCAAACCGCTATGGGTTTTGAAATAACCTTTCTGTGAAAGGTTGCAAGTGTTCAGCATATATGATGTATATATATGTGCATATATCGAGCCCGTAATCGAAATTCCTCAGTCACATTCTAAAATTCGGTACGTGTGTTGATTTTATTTCTCTGGTGTAGGTAGAAATCGTGTTGGAATTCTTTCGGCTTACATCATTCCTTGTAGCTATCCAAAAATATTGTCTAAAAACTAGAAATCCTTATCTGTGTGGTCAGTCTGATTTTCCTTGCTTATATAAGTTGTGGTCAATTTGGCAGCTTATCTTTTCTCGTAGCTATCCAAATATACAGTCAAGCTAGATTAGCTTGGCCAATCGATTTTTATTTTATTTTTTTTACTCACATACAGCTCAATCTATAAGCATAAACAGCCTTATACTGAGACTGTGGACTTGTTGACCGGTTTTGACGGTCAATACCCTCAACACCACACCCCAATACCCTCAACACCATATCCCCAACTTCCTTTCGACACCATATCCCCAACTTCCTTTTGACACCATATCCTCAACTTCCTTTTGACACCATATCCTCAACTTCCTTTGGCTATCTTCGAATCAACTCTTGACTCTTCGAATCACTTTGAATCAACTCTTGACTCTTCAAATCACTTCAAATCACTTCGAATCACTTCGAATCACTTCGAATCAACTCTTGACTCTTCGAATCACTTCGAATCGCTTCGAATCAACCCTTGACTCTTTGAATCACTTTGAATCTACTCTTGACTCTATCAAAGATGCCAAGAGGACAATCAAAGCGCCAGGCTCGACTCGAAGAGGAAGCAAAGGCTTTACAAACCGCGTCAGTCTCCAATATTGTCCTTCATCAACACTACTCATCACTTTGTGTTTTTTTTAGTGCCGATAAACGAGCCAAACAAGCTCCACGCAAAGGGCTTAGCCCTGATCTTGGTAGGGGTGGCACTCCGTCCATGATGCCGAAGTAAGTTCTTCCACTTATTCCATTCGAATCAAATCAAATCATTAGACTGATTCTGATTCTGATTCGAATTGATCAACTCTTGTTAAGACTCAATCACCACTGGGAAAACGTCAAGTATGGACCGCGCCTCTATCGCGATTCGGAAATGGTCCATCTGGACCCTTTTCAAGAGCCGGGCTTTTGTGAGTTTCGTTGTAAACACCATCCCGAAGTCGTTTCTGGTGAGTGTTCTTTTCTTTCAAAACTGTTTCGTACACATCAAACTGACTTATTCACTGTAGATCCAGAAATTGAGGTCGTGCCACCAAACTTACCGTTGTATACTCCACCACCCGCTCCAGCTACTAGATCCAGCTTTGTGGCCATCAAGGATCCTTTTGCTGTTGATTCAGGTCTTATGGATCCAATGCTCGGAGATCAAACTGCTCCTAAAAGTAAGTCATGATACATTCTCTCTTCCACCTCTCTTCTCTCACACCTCGCTCGAAGCTTGAAACTGACTTTGCTTCCATTAGATCCAAAAGTCATAACTGTAACATCATCTCCAACTCCAGCAGCTGCTGAAGTTGCAGTGGCCGAGCGTAAACCGACTCGAAGCCTAGTGGAATTCCACGTATACATCCCAAAGCATCTTTCCGACGCGGAAAAACGAGCTGGAGTGGCGACTTCCTATGTGGACTACGCAACCAAGGAGCCTTTAGAAGAGCTTCTTCAAATCCATGGGTTTTCCCTTGACGATTTGAAGATGTCTCTTTACGATGCCTGCAACGACCACAAGAAGCCGTGTGGAGACTTACTGAAGATAGCCGATGAAAATAGTCAGATGGCTTTCAAGGGATATGTGGTACACGGTGGCAAGTTTGGTAAGACAGCATCGCCTACCATTCCGGACGAAGATACTTTTGATCAATTCAAGGAGATGCTCCTTAAGAAAGAAGGTAAAGAGGTTGGATTTCATCTTTTGATGGCAAATCCAAAGAATCGAGCCAGAACGGATTCAAGAGTAAGTCTCATTCCACTTGTTTTCTTTTCATTATCTCAGATTCAAGTTGATATTGATTTGATTCTGGATAGGACATGCTATTCGACCAATCATTGGCACATAGCCATCCAGCAGCGTTGGATGCTGCTCATCACGGCGTAGTAGAGATGTCGGTAAGTTTCTACCTCTCGTTTTTAAACTTTCTTCATGTTTTTTTTTCTAACTCTTTCCACTTTCATTTGAGCAGAGCATTGGAGTCGACGCAGCCATTCAGGCTGAACACACGAATCTTATGCGCCAGTACGGACATACCAACATTGCTGGTCGAGAGTGCATGGGTTACATTAAACCGGATGATTCAACCATGGTGATTTACTTAACGCATTCCTTGATTGAGACGTGGGCAAGTGACATTGTAAGTCCAATGTTCTTACTCAATATCATGATTTCACATCAAGAATAGCTGACTTTTGTTGATTCTCTTATACAGGTTCATAAGCGATATGGTGCTACGCAGATCAGTCCTCCTCGACGTGTCGCATTCAAATGGGTCCCGATCGACCAAGTCAAACCTTTGAAAGGGTTAGCAAGGTCCAATTCTACACCCTCAGCATTGCAAACATCGATGGTCTCACATGGCAACGGGTTATTCTCATTTAATAACAACGACAGCCCAGGACCTCGAATCAAGTCAAACTCTCCAGCTCTGGGGCCGATCCCAGATTTTGAAGATTACCTCAAGTTCTGTACGATTAGCCCAGAGGATCACACCACTAGACGACTTCTTACGCAGTACGACATCATTGACTTTGAGATGTTCGAATCCACCGAACTCACTTGTGCAAAAATGGAGGCGTTGGGGTTTCAATTTGGTCCTCGTATTCGCCTCCATGATAAAGTCTCCTCTTATCGACAGGAGCTCAAGAGAAGAGCTAGAGGAAATCATTAGTGTTGTGTCTTATTGGAAAAAGAGTATTGACTGTCCTGTAAAAGAGTCTTATTGTGTTGTAGCTACAGTACAGTGTAAAACATCAAAGCTTATCCACATCTTATTGTCTGTTTGTTTGGTCCTTAAAAATTTTTGTCTGTTTGTTGTTTGATGTTCTGTTTGTCAACAAGTATGGTAATGCAAATCCTCTTTAGTGAACAAATTGATCTGCCAAAGATTTCCCAGACCCAAGTGAGATTCATTGTTACCTTTCACTCACAGTGAGAACAAACAAAACACAGTGATTATTTCTTGGTCTATCAAGAAATCTCACAACACTCAAGGCATTTCTTAAAACTCATTGATTTTCTCACTTTGGTGTAAAATTTGACCTCTCAACATCATGATTCAAACTTAAGAAATTGGAATAAAAAAAATTCATTTCTTTGACTATTCTTGAGATGAAACCATAAGAAGAGATTTCAACAACACTATTTTATAGCAACAATATTTTATAAGCAAACCATTCTACAACTACTCCTCAGCATTATGGATAATAGCCTTTAATCTCTCTAATCAAAATCCTCTGTCCTCTTGAATCTCGAAATGTATTGATCACTATTGAACTTGCACGTTGTATGGATTTGTATCAATCGAACAGCCTGAAGAAATCAATAATCAGTTTTGTTTGATTTCAGGCCCCATAAGAAATCCAAAAAAAACTCACATGATTGTCCTCCTCAATCACGTGGTCTGTAGCCACAGGTTTTGTATAAGCTTGTGATGAAACTGCTTGTGCAGACATCACTCAATACCGTCTTCAAACACGCAAACTTATTGACAGCTTGACCAAGAAGACCGTTTCGACGAAGATTATCCTTGAAAACGTCGAAAGTTCGCTCAATCGGGTTGAACTCCGGCGTGTACGGGGGTAAGTATACTATAAGGACCCCTCTTTCCTCACACATTACCTCAATTGACCCTCGGTGGTGGATAGGGGCGTTATCCAATACTAATACCGAGTTTTGATTCGGATAGGGCTGCATAACAGGGAGCTGAAATAAAATCAATATTCACATCAGCTTCTTGATAACGGGCAGATACAAAGGAAAGAAGAACGGCTTACTAAAATATGCTTTAAGAACACTTCAAACTCGTGTCGACGGTAAGCGTTGACCTTGGCATTGACAGCCAAGAGGCCCATCTCGCAGATCGCTGCTAACACACTGTAGTGAACTCCGTGCCTTGATCGTTTCAAAGCCTTAGGTCGTTGGCCTTTTCTAGACCAAACGTGATTGCGTTGAACATCCTGCAATTGCAGGCCAGTTTCATCTTATGAAGAACATAGAAGAGCCATATGAATCAGTATGATGTCTTTGAGAAGAAAGAAGACAAGGAAAAACTCACCTAAAAACACCAAATACTCGGGTGGAATATATGCAACATTACCAGAGTATCTGGCCTGTGATTCAGCTGACTGGTTCGGATCCACTTTCGAGGCTTTATGGACTGTGAGAAAAAGGCGCTGCTTGAGGTCGTTGGCAATTGTTTTTTTACAAGCGATGAGATTGGTCTGATTGTACATGGCTTGTTGGATTTCGTCAAGAAACAGAGTCGGATCGTTATCAATCAGTTCAAGCATGAACTGACGATCCTCGTCCGAATACAAAGTTGGGCGGCCTCGTTGTTGATAGGTTGCAGGGTTTCGGACAACGGCGTGAGTATGGATGAACAGAGCATTCCATCGTAAGAATGATTTTTTGGAGATCACGGTAATGAGTTCCGTATTGATTGAATCAATGGACTGTCCGGATCGGAATTTGGTGAGTGCGATGACTTTGATTTGCGGACTATACTTTACAAACCCCATCGCAGATGAGAGTCGATGGGAAAGTGGTTTGATGGAGGATGGGTGTGAGTGGTGTGGGATGTGGTGGAAGGCGAGTCACTGGGGCAGTCTGACTCTGACGCGGCAGGCTGTGTAGCCTGACCCGTTTGAAGGCTATGCTTATAGATTGAGCTGTATGTGAGTAAAAAAAATAAAATAAAAATCGATTGGCCAAGCTAATCTAGCTTGACTGTAATTAAAATTATAATCAGGTATGTCGCTTATGTCTAGTCCTTTGATTCAAAGGACTCGCAATGACCGTTGCTTTGACCCTGTTACCCAGTATAACTTAAATATGTCGTTGCCAAATTCTCAAGCTGATTGGTCACCCATGACCGGCCTGAATTTAACTAACTCGTTGGCTGATCAGGTGTGTGATGTTGTCACAAATGTTTTGTGTGCGCTGTTACTGATACTGCTTTTCTGCGACCAGTCTGGTAATGCTGGGCCGCGCCCGGGGGCCAATTCTGTAAGACCTACGGTCATTACAAGACACGTAACGATATTACTTAAATATTAAATACTTAAATCTTAAATTTCATTTTCTATATATAGTTCTTTTCATTTCGATCTTGCCGATTGGTTCCTTAGAGATATCGGGACTGATTATAATCCCTCTATCCTTCGGAACCAGGTATAGTCATTACTTTCTTATTTCTTTCTTTTCTTTTATTATTACTATTGTTATCCTTAGAGATATCGGGACTGATTATAATCCCTCTATCCTTCGGAACCAGACGTGTTCTCGATTGGATTTGAAATCAAAATCAGGTCTCTTGGGTTCTAGAAACCCTTCACTGTGCCTCACAGTGTCCCGCTCGACGTGTCTAGTGAAGGTTCCTCCCGAACCTTACACTTTTTTTTTCTCAAACCCAAGAAAAAAAATCAATTGAAAATTTTTTTTACACCAACTAAAACTCAACTCAATCGACACTTCAAAAGTTTATCGAATGCGCCATCTCAGACTCAATACATTAATAATACATTGAAAGTCACTACCCCGCATTCCCTTAAAACTCACACTTGATCGTCGTGTATGACGACACGACGACAAGCCCCCTCCACCACCGATCCTAAAGCTCCGCCAGTACCTCTGCCAGACCCCGAAGCCATTATTCGAGAGAACCGACGCCTGAAACGTTTATCTCGGCCAGACCCTAAGATCGCCAGACTAGCCGCGCTCGAACAGCCACCGCCAGCCACACCTTCACGTAATCGAACAGACTATCTACCGCCAGTGACGCCAAACCGTCTTCGAACCGAATCGGCCGCCTTGCCAGCTCTACCGGAATCATCGGACGAATCGCCCTTATCTTCCTTACCATCCTCCCCTACACGACGACAAACTTCACCTGAACCGTTTCCTAAAATGGCGGATCAAACCCTTAGGCCAGACAACTCCAATTCAGACCTAATGAGAGCGATTGTGGAATCGAATCTCGCTACCAATCGCCGCATGGAACAGATGGAAGAGTTCATGAAGAAGATGATGGTGTCTAAAGAATCGACTCCCACAGATCCCACTCCAGATGAAACTAAGCCGGCGAATGGTATCGATCTGACGAAGTTCCGCACCTCGGATGGACCGATTTATAAAGGACCATACCGCGAGGCAGAACCCTTTCTTTTGTGGTACTCTTCCTTAAAAACCTTCTTCCGCACTAAAGGTGTGACGTCGGACTCGGATCGTATCATCCTAGTAGGAAGCTTCTTGGAAGAACCTAATGCCCATGCTTTCTACGAAGGAGGTTACGATGCCTTCATCAAAGGCTCCTGGAAGGAGTTCCTCACTCAACTATTCTCCTCTTGCTTACCTGGCGACTGGAAGGATCGTTTGTACGAGAAGGCTCAACACTTACAAATGTCGCCATATGAAGATTTCATTGCCTATAGCACCAGAGCTCGACAAATTCAGATTCTGATCAATTTTGACTCGATTCGAATAAACGACTTACAACTAGCTACTTTTGTCGAGTATGGTATGGTGGAAGAGCTCAAAACCGCTGTTAAATTATGGGGTTTTTCGAGCTACACTAAAGATTTCGCTTATCATACATTCGAAAATAAATGCGAAACCCTCTATGCTTCTCTCGTCGCTTCTCATGCTATCGTCAAGAAAACTAGAGCGCCCACCTTACCTTCCGCATCGTACCATCGTTCTCGTGTCGCTGCGACGAGTACTTCTAGCACGACTGGTCGTTTAAGCGATGAAGAATTCACGTGGAAAATTCATTCTTACCGTGACTCCATCGGGCAATGTCATTTCTGTAAAGGGTGGTGTGGCAGTGAGCATCGGGCGTGCAAAGGCCCCTATGTTCGAGAAAAGGTGGTATTCCCTCCAGGTTATGTTGCACCCCCTAAACCTGCCAACTACGTACCTCCGAAAGCCAAATCATCGCCACCAGCCGGTCGTAGCCAAGCCGGACGAGCGACTCAACCGCCTGCAGGACGTCCAGCCGCATCATACGCGAGGGTAGCAGCAGCGTCTGAATTTCCAGACCTGGACGAGGCCTCGGTAGCGGCTCTCCAAGCTCTGGATGAGGAACTTGATCTAGCCGAAGCCGAAGGGTGCGTAAATCCTCCTAAGCCGCCACGCGTCATCGTTGAATTCAACTACAATGGCGAAAAGATAAGGGCTCTAGCTGATCCGGGTGCCGAAATTAATCTCTTGACAGAACGGGCGGCAGAGCGTCTTAAGCTTAAGAAGAGAAAGCTTGTGAAACCGATGCAGCTTAGCCTCGCGGTCAACACCGAATCCCCGCCTCCTGTGCTTACACACTTCACCACCGTCGACCTTATTGAACCAACATCAAAAAAAGTATTCAATAGGACGTACTGCAAGTTAGGAGAGGTGGGAGGTGATTTTGACATGATTCTAGGGACGCCTTTCTTCAATATTTTTCAATTCTCCGTTTCTATTAATAAAAGAGCTATTGTGTGCGAAAAAACTGGTCTTGAAATTTATGATTATCGATTGTTGGAGGAATGGAATGAAGAACTTCAAAAGTTGTCTGTTCCCCGTTTGAATGAGCCTGTGAAGGAGTGCAAAGATGCATGGGAGAGAGAAGTGAGTGTGAAAGGGAAGCAACTGTTTAAGAGTGACTATGAAATTTATGAGATGAAGATGCTTGAGGAATTTGAGGATCTGTTCCCGGTAGATATTCCGGCGGTATCTGAGGAGGCTGAAGAGGAAGGCCTATTTGTTGATGGATCCTTCCCCAAGAAATTACAAAACGAGAGCTCCAAGATACGACATAAAATTGTATTGAAAGATCCGGAGGCAGTCATCAAGGAGAAAGCTTACAATTACCCACCAAAACATATGAACG